TTGGGAAGCTTGGAAACAGAAAAATTGACAAAAAAACCTGAAGAATACACAAAAAAGAATTCCAGTCGGAGGTGGCGAACGGCCACGGCCAGGAGGCTAGAGTCCAAAAACCAAGGAAAACAGAAGTGAAACCAGAAAAATAAACAAAAAAAACCCAGAAAAATAGACAATAAAAATATTCGCTCCGTTTAGACCCGACCAGGTTTCAACTATCCGTGGGGGCTTGCCTTGGAGCCCGTCGCAGGCAGCTTGGTGTGGTTGCGTGCGTTCATTCTGAATGGGGTAGGGTAATGTATAACCCTGGCCCCTGTAATTACTGTATAGGGATTATTAAAAGTACCTTGGAATCCCAAACGACACATACTTGACAGCCGACTGGTAGACCAAGAACCTAGCCAGGGTTTAGGATCTAGGAGTGTGGGTCAGCAGTTCAGGGTATGGGATTTTGATGGTTTACGGCGACATCGGTCTTAGAACCGAATGTATACCGACAGAAAAGCTTTACTGTGCTTTATTGCAAACATTCAACTACCAGTCTTGTTGCTTGGTTTTGCTGCGCCCTAGGCTCTGTGAAGCTCTATGTGGGAGACAACGCCAATCACCAGGCAGGGGAAGTTCTGTCTCGCCTTAACCGTACAGTTGGACAATTCTCAGGGTTACGGGGACCTTTTCCTTTTTCGACAGCTCCCTGAGTCCTGAACCCTAAAGTTGAAACGAGTTGGAGCCCGGCTGTAGCAGTGGAGTTTTCCCGGGTGCTTTACGGACAGGAACAAGTATGAACAGGTTGGGGTACCATGTGGGGATTCGGGACCATGCCGCTATGGATCCTTTGCATACCACGCTTCTGGACGGCAGTCGCTTGCTCGCCTGTCACTCCCAAAACCGAGTGGCAAACTCTAAGGCGATGATGTCGCGGGCCAGCTGGAGCTTAGGGTTTAGGGTTTACGGGTTCAGGGTTTAGGGTTTGGGGGTTTAGGGTTTAGGGCCTCATGCAAGAACGAAATCAAAGTCCTCAAAACAAAGGTTCCTAAACCCCTGTTGTCAATAAGCCCCCAGTTCTGATTCTGAGTTTTCAACTACGAGCTCCTGGCCGCAAAGCCCTTACTGTAGGGCTCGGCAAGGTAAGAAATTCGTGCTGGTATCCTAGTCCCACTATAAGTGATAGATATACTCCTGAACCCTCATGGCCCCGATATTGCTGACAACCTTACTCTCGTGAAGCTTGTAACACCATGAGCCCAAAACCTTCATCAAGCCCGAAACGGCAAATGCCTTGAGTTCTAAATCCTCAAACTACCTTCCAACAAGTCAACTAGCATAACTCAATGGCACAGTGGAAAACTTGTTAATTTCCCGTTATGGTTCCTTTAGATGTACCTATTCATAGATATTTTTTAAGGGCCCCGAAACTACAATCCAGATAAGTACCGGCCAGGCAACATTAAAGGTCCCCACCAAAAGGCTTGCTACCCCGAACAAAACCACCCCAAGCACCAGGCCTCAAACAAGACGCCTTCGAACCTTCAATTCTTACATAACAAGACATAACAGACACTAGTATTTCTTGACCGAATATTGTAATATTATAGTATCATATTGTAGTATATTATTATCGTACAATATTATAGTATAATTGTCAGAGCCATAGATCCCCGATTTGAGATTAAAATCTCCCGGACCCAGAAACCCTGCGTTTTCAGGTGTCCCTGGTTGATTTAGCCTCCATTCCGCCGGTGGTGACGAAGTATTTCGGCTGCAACCTTTGACCCCATATTTTGTAGGCTTTGTTAAAAGAAAATAAAGAATGTTGCACGTTCTTAGTCTGGTTTAGTAGGTCTTATGAAACTGAATAAGGTTTTGCATGGTCTTTATAGCGAGTCCTGGGTCGTACCTCGTTTCGAAAGACTTGGTCAGTAGGCCTGTAGTTAGGCTAGCCGCAAGCGCGGTTTAGGGTTGGCTGTAGGAATGTTTGCGATTTACAAGACTCTAACCAGGATATTTATACTTGATCCCTGAACTTGCCAAGCCCTAAACCCAAGATCTTTAACCGTAAAGTCTATGCCCTCTCATCATGTCATTTTTCGGCCGAAAGAAAACTGCAGGACAGTGTTTCAGTGGAGGCCTTCGGGTTAAAGCTGCAACCCAAATATGCCATGGGGTTTTTTGGGTCGACGGATATACAGCCATGTAGATCCATCAATGCTATGACCATTGGGACTGCCAAGCACGACATAACGCCCTGCCAAACTCACCCCCTTCGAAAGCCCAGCATAAAGCCTTAACAAAGGTTCCCCAACCTGAAGAACATCATAGCAGTCGCTGGGTAAAGTTGTTTGTAGTCAGAACCCTATGAAACCTTCAGCCCAGCCCACCCTATTCAGTGCTTTCGCAACCCTTCAAACACTATGTGCAGAAGACACTCCCCCAAAAAAGACAACAAGCACAAAACAGATAAATACGTAACGTAAGATAGTGGAACGTCCATCTGGTGCTTTTCGGTCGCCAGAGCAGATCGGTGCGAGAGCGAGGATGTGATGTTCAGGTTGAGGGCGCCTGGCTTCCGAGGGTTCGTAAAGCTCTGAGGTCTCTGAGGGCTCCTAGTAATCTTGGTGTATCAAATTAGCAGCATGCTGATCATTGATGAAAACAACAGAAACAACAGTTTCTGCAACATAGCAAGAACACTTACTCCAAGCAGGGTCAGGGCCAAAGGCTTGCAGGTTTTCCGGGTTGGCCACGGATCCGAAACGGAGATCTCCCAAAAGGCCGAGCCCCGGCAAGAATACGTGGTCCTAAGCTGCAGCTCGAGGATTGCTGGGTTGAGAGAAGCTGGTGCGTCAACAGCAAGCAGAGGAATGAGTTCTTGGGAAACCTGGTGTGGGGCTTCGAATGAGTGATGAGGGCCCCTTTCCTTGTGAACGCCCTTTCTCTTCAGAGGCTCCTGGGACCGTTGCTTTGGAATTTCAATCTTCGGGGTGGTCTGGGTCTGGAATTGAAGATTGATTGCGCAGTGGTCGGCATGTAAGGTTCGGGCTTCATGATTTTTGTGGGCTAATGTTGGGTCAATACTGCTTACAGTAACAGTCCTTAATGAGGAAATGTTTGGGCTTTGTATGTGCCTCGTCACGGGAGGTGCTGTTACCCATAGGCCCTAAAGTAGTTCCTTTGTGGGGTTCATATATAGAGTCCTATAATCCTATAAGTTCGTATATCGAATCCTATAACCCTATAAGGTAACCCCCAAAAAGGACTTACTATGGGGCCTGTGGGTACTGCAACGATACTGATGTCGGGTCCTGCTCGGCTTTTCGGCTTTTCGCCTTTAAAGGGAAGCTTGAAGACAGCTTCAGTGACCCAGTCATACGGTTGATGGACAAAATTCTGCATGACCCAAATATAGTATAGTACCATAAATCCCATGACCTGTGTTCTTTTGAGCAGGCAAACACTCACTGAGCGCCTGGGCAGCTTACGCATCACCCAAACCTGAGCCCCCAAACCCTATGACCCCGGTTAAAACCCCTGAAACCCAAAAACCCAAGCCTCGTGCTTGAGCTTTTTAGATAACTTCTTGCCTCAGAACCCAAACCCGAAGGTCCTAGCCCTGCAGGAAGGCTCCACGCGGGAGGGCGCAGGCCCCGCCACGAAAGCCGACACCTGCCTACCCAGAAAGCCCAATATCCCTTAATTACGGGATAAACCTTAAATCCTAATACTACGGCTTTTAAGGTATATTCCTTGATTAAGGGGTATTGGGCGATCGGTGTAGTGTAGCTTAAATCGTGCGCTCAACGACCCTCGCTACCCTAAACCCTGACCCGCTACACCCTAAAGACCTAAGTTGAAACCCCCAAACCCTAAACCCCAAAGCCTTGAAAACCCCCAAACCCTAAACCCTGAACCCCTAAACCCTAAACTCCGAGCCCCATAAACCCGAAGCCCTGTAAGCCCTTTCGCTTTTGCATTGGCTCCGACTCTCTTGGCATGCAAGCTTGAAGGAAGCCTTCCGTCTGCTGGAGTTTAGGGTTTAGGGTTAAGCGTCTACCACTTGGGTTGAGGGTTAAGGGTCTACCACTTGGGCTTAGGGTTTATAGGGTCTACCACTTGGGTTGAGGGTTTAGGGTTTAGGGTCTACCACTTGGGTTTAGGGTTTAGGGTCTACCACTTGGGTTGAGGGTCTAGGGTCTACCACTTGGGTTGAGGGT